AGCGAAGGGTACTTGGGCGGGGCAGCACAGGACGCACGGCGTTTGGGAACTTGCCTTTTTTTTCCCTCCAGTGTGAGGCCGGGCGTGCATGCAGAAGATTGGTGGCTCCCGGTTCCCTGCTTCGCAGACACGACAATATCTACACGCACGCGGATACGACTATGGTGCACGCAGTCGTGGCTTTTCTGTGGAGTTGTATAGAGGGAACATGACGACACAAACAAACACCCACACAAGCATGCCCCGGTGTCCGGGTGACAGAACAAGGGAGATGACATATTGATGAGGCCGACCATGGGAAACGAGGAGGGAGGCGGGCAAAGGACAAGGAGATGTGCACACACAAACACATAATCCGTGATGGAGGGAAAAGGGAGGAGGGAGGGGAGGAGAGAGGTGAGGAGGGAGGGTGGCACGTTCTTTTGAGGGGACGAACATACTCACACGGATGCGAGTGCACACATCAGCAATAGGGGGGGAGGGAGGAGGAGGGAGCAAAGAAGACGACGATGACAATGGAGGGAGGATGGTGGGTGGAGGTGGAGGGAGGAAGACCACGTGGAGGGAAAAGTAGGGAAGAGCGGTACATCTTTGCACGGGAGGCAACGGTGGCGGTGAGGAGGTCGGCCATGGTGGAGGAGCGAAGACGAGCATCGTGAAGGAGGGAGGAGGGTTTGAGAAGTAGGGACGAGTAGAGAGAACAAGAGATATAACGATGAAGGGAGGGCCGAAGGCTAAGATGAAGGTGCAGGAGATAGAGGATGGAGGCCGGAGGAGGGAGGAGTGCAACGGCCATGAATGCAGCCCGAGGGAGGAGGGCAACGAGCACAGAGGGAGAAGGGCGATGAGCTGGATGGAGGGAGTAGGGAGTAGTAGCGAGGACACGAACTATAACGATAAAGAGAGGAGGATAGAGGACAAAGGTGATGACGGAGGAGGATAAGATGGAGGCTAGAGGAGGGAGGTCAACGCCCACGGAGGGAGGAGGACAACGCACACGGATGCAGGAGGGCGACGGGGATGCATGGAGGGAGAAGGGCGACGAGCTTGGATGGACGGAGGAGCATGACGAGCATGGATGGAGGGAGGGGGGCAACAAGCATGTATTGAGGGAGGGTGACGAGCATGGATCTAGGGAGCAATGTGGCGAGTGTGGATGGAGGAAGAGGGTTGAGGACGAGCGCGGATGGAGAAGAGAGGCTCCTTTAGTGAAGTCCAAGAGAAACTACAAGAGCATGGACGGAGGAGAGAGGCTCGTTCAGTAAAGTCCAAAAGACAGACTACGAGACAGTCTGGCACAGTCATGCTTTTTTTTCCTTTCTGAAGTTGTGTACACCAAACATGACAACACAAAGAGACGATGGAGTGATGATGGTAGGAGGACGCGGTGATGACACACGCGGGAATGATGGAGGGAAAAGAAGGGCACCAAAAGGATAGATGATGGCAGTTCACGACCATGACGATGAACAGGATGGTGTTGATGATGACAATGACAATGATGATGTGGATGATCACGTTCGCAGGCAGGCACACACACACACACACACACACACACACACACACACACACACACAGAGAGAGAGAGAGAGAGAGAGGGAGGGGGGGGTGGGGGGGCTCACACTTGTGTGGCCGTAAGCAATGAAAACAGACAGCGGATCAACAGAGAGAGAGAATAGCGGGGGAGGAGGGAGGGAGGCAGGAGGGAAGGAGGAAATTGGTAAAATTAAGTCAGACGTCATCAAGAAGTTGGACCACATGAAGAGCTCGTGGCCCAAAGCGATTGGCCGCTGTGACTAAAAGCCTCCTGCTATTTGGTGCCTTCCGTACTCCAAATCTTCGTGTTGACTATCGGACCTTCGGCTCGGTTCCCACCAGGTCACTGCCCACTATAGCCTACAGTTCTGTCTAAAAAAAGAATCAAATGTTGAAGCAGCACGTAGATCTTCCATGTCGTTTCTTCCTAAAGAAAGAGAAACAACAAAAAGCTTAAAAGCTTCAAAGTAGGTTTTCATAGTTTCGGTTGAAAAAGGTGGGCTTCGATGTCATGACCTGTCTATTAGCGAAGTCTTCCATTCAGACTCATCGAGCTCATTTTCACAGTAATTTAGGACACAGAGGTTTTCATACCATACTTGCAACTATTCGACACTGCGCAGGATACTTCATCATATATTTCTGAAATCCTACTAGTGCTCGCTTGCGAGCCCACGTGGGTTGCCATTTTACCATGTCAAACGGGAAGAGGTACTTTCGCTCACATGGTCCGCAATACAAGTCGAGCTCAAAAGATTCGCTGACATGGTCCGCCAACGCAGTCAAGCTCAGCAGATACATGTGTCATCGTTTTTCTATTGTTATTTTCAAGCAGAAACAATCAATTCATTACAATGTCATTGTTTATCCTCGTTCGCCTTTCCACCAAGAGCGCGTGCACCACCGAACAAACGTTCCGCTACTTGCTTGACGAGTCACCACGTCAAAATTCGAGATCACCACAGTAAGTCACCACAACAGCTGCATCTGTCTCATCGCACCACGAGAGAAGATGAACAACAGTCGTATTAACAACAATCATATTAACAACAGTCGTATTAACAACAATCATATTTTTCATTACCACTTCGAGAGACCCTTCACCACTTCAGGATTCAGCCTGCCTTTTGTTTTTCAAATATCTCAGAAAGACGAGGCTCCAATCAATTCGTGGGGAGCAGCACATGCTAAACAGGTGGTTTTCAGGGTCTTCAGATCCTTCACGACTTCAGGACCACTCAGGATTTTCAGACTTCCTAAACTCTAATACTCTGGTTAAGAGAGAGAGAGAGAGAGAGAGAGAGAGAGAGAGAGAGAGAGCTGCAGAAACAGGTTCCTAATCTTCGGCTTAGTCAGCCAGGATGGTAGGTGCACAATCTCTACAGAGAAAGCTCTTGTACACACGATACATTCATTCCGAGATAAATGCACTTATACCCCCACACTTTATTCATCTCCACATCTGTAAGAACGTCCACGCGAGAGTCCTGATAGCCACGGAAATGCTCCACATTGAGAGGCATACGTGCAGTTCTGCTTCGCCTTGCATTCGCACGTACCTGACTTGTCCAAATCTCGTCGCTCCTACCGCTGCATGGATCTCTAACGACGCTATGGATTGGAGATTCGAGGGATTTTGCGATAAGCAGCAGACCAACGATGTTTATGACAAACTAGAATTTGATGTACCCGTAGGTACATGAGGGGATCGTTATGACCGTTATCATGTCCACATTGAAGATATGCGACGTTCATGAACCGCAGACCGTACGGGCATACGTGCAGTTCTGCTTCTCTTGCCCCCCCCCCCCCTCTCTCTCAAAACGCAAGGCACTTGTGTTTTGGCACTTCTGTTCCATTCATTGCTATCATTCCAGTCATTGCTAACACGTAGTGCACCCGACGTCCAACACAAAACTGCCATGTCTTCGGATTTGTCGGCGACATACTTGCAATCCAAAGACATGTGACCACGATACAGACCTCTTCTCTGTTGGTGAGTTGAGGTCATCATATCATTCCTCCCGTTGGTTAGTTCAGGCAAGGCACATGTCCATGGTGTCACGGCTATCACGATGAGGAGGCATGGAAGTAGAAAGGGCTGTGTTAGAAGCTTGTCTATTTAGTTATGGCTTTTACTGTTGGTTCAGGGAAAGACAAGGGCTTCGGGCTCCGCGGGCTTAGGCCTGTAAGCTAAACCGGCTGAAGCTGCAGGGATAACTCCGGGTAGAATTGTGAGGTCCCCGGCCTCAACCGATCGAAAGTAGAAAGGGCTGTCTCAGGTTCTCACTGTCCGACAGCTGTACCAACTAGCCTAGCTCAGTCGGTACACCCATGAACTGTTGACATACAGACCTGACTTCAAATCCAGACGTAACCAGACACAAACTTCATCACGAAGAGAATAAGATATTCAATGCTGAATAACATGAGGCAGGTCAGTGCAATGATTATATCTCGAGGCTGTCGCCAAAATAGAGACTGTCCCACAGTCTGTGGATCTCTTTTCCACAGAGCTTCATGTTTACAAAATGGATTTGGTGATAGGACCTAGCCCAGTAGGTAACCCACCAGCCTTATATTCCGCAGATGCAGGGATCGAAGCCAGTAGCCCCCACTGAAAAAAAATAAAAATAAAATGGAGTTAGGTCCATCCTAGAGCAGCGCATTGCTTTTAAATGGAGCTCTGCGTTTTCAAACTACTAGTCCGTGGGCGACGGTCTTGAGATATCAGCGTCGAATCGACCGGCCCGAGGCCTCTCAGACAACTTACTATTTCATGCATCTTGTTCGTCGGGATTCGAACTCAGATCTGTGTTTCAACAGCCAACGGGTGTCTTACCAACCGATGCGGGCCCTTTGGGTTAAAAACTACTCTTTTCAATGCGGCCGAGGGATAGAAATACCGATTCACATTTGGGAGAACTAAATACTAGTATCTCCAGTGCGTAACCTACCGCGGCTACCGGGAGTCCTTCGAAGATGGAAACCTACATGTCCCAATGGGCCTAGCTCAGTNTACTAGTATCTCCAGTGCGTAACCTACCGCGGCTACCGGGAGTCCTTCGAAGATGGAAACCTACATGTCCCAATGGGCCTAGCTCAGTTGTGTACACCATGAACTGTTGAAATGCAGACAGAAGTTCGAATCCGTACGGTGCTCGATCAATAAAAAAAGACAGCCTTGATTTACCTGACGCCGGTCAATTCACTGATGATACCTCAAGGCCGTCCTCCCACAAAGAACAAAGGGAAACAAAACTTGGGTGATCAATCCTGAACTGAAAGACAGAAACAACAGAAAAACGAAAGGGAAAACACGAACCAGGGAAAGAGCATTCCCATAAAAAAAGAAACCAGGGAGACATAGCATTTCCATTAATCAACCATACACATCTCCACAAGCAGCCTACTGCACTACAAACTCTTTAACAATTGCACTTCCCATGCATCAACGAAGTGCTCGCGTTCAGGCTTCATGCAGAAAAAAAGCAATACAAAAGAGCTCGACTTGCACTTGTTAAGCGTTGTGCACTAATTAAACTAATCACCTGATTCAGAATCAAACAAGCCTAATTTCACGCAGTACACTTCAAAAGCAATCCCACCATACCAAGTGTTAAACGCTGTGCATTGATTACCCGATTAAAGGAAAGAAAGATGAAACAAATGCAATTCAGAGCAACGCAAATAAAAAAAAAGCAATGCGGACACAAGACCGTTCGAAGCGCTGTGCTTTAGCTACCAAATTAAGGATCAAGCAAACGCCATTCAGGCAACGCAATTCAAAACGCCATGCACCCATACCGAGCTTCATAGCAGATGATAACCCCAGAACCGACACCCATAACGAGCTTCATAGCAGATCATAACCCCAGGACCGACAGTAAGTTAGGCCAGAACAATAGAGCCCGACGAGGAAAAAACAATTTTGCCTGCAGAAAGCAACGACGTCACATGACAAGCGGAATAGAGGGTTCGAAATTTTGCAGAGACGAATGGTGTTCTGACTCAAGGTTTCGTTTTTCCCGCTTCTCTGAAGCGTAAAGGCCAAAACTTTTTACAGAACGAAACGTTGACCCAATCAATGCAGGGCCAGGCAAACCGCCACGGCACAGCGGGACAACGGAAACGCCAACAATTCCACCGAGAAGAGAAGTGGGCTTAATCAGCTAAAAGGCAGCTTGGCGACCATCACTCTCTGCAGATATCATAGTGGTAACGTGAAGAGCAAGTGATGAGAGTCGCCGAAGCAGCAGTCATCCGTCTCACACCACAAATTCGCAAACAAGGACGAGAAAGAAAAGAAGGGAAAACAAACGGAATAGACGAAGAAAACAAGCTTCAACTGATCGTCAATAACGAGAGAGAGAGAGAGAGAGAGAGAGAGAGAGAGAGAGAGAGAGAGAGATCAACCTGCACAACAAGACCAAAACGATAAACTACAGAAATCGTCAAAGAAACTAATAACTTTGTTGAATGAGGTAGTCGCCAAGCTGTTCCACCACCACATTACAATCGGAATGCTGGACTGGGTCCTCATACAGCCCAATGATCAAAGCGGTTGCCGTCTTCTTTATGGTTGCACCACCCTTCGGGCTGAGACCGGGTCCCTGCACACAGCAGAAGAAACAGAACCGGGCTATTTTTAGAACAAATCCCGACGACACCATCCGTACACGATGACAACTATCCGGAAGAGCCCAGCACGGCAAGAGGAGGGTCACAACGGATAACACCTATGCTCCTTTCACATGGTAGGCCTAACGTGAGGAGACGAGAGGGCACAGCTTGCGTACATAGCGCGTCGCCGAGCGACTCTACATATGCGAGAAATACGAAGCTTCGGCGGCGGGTGTATCTCGGCAGTTCAATTGTAGTTAAGTTCGTCATTTACACACTTCGAGAGTACTGCGGCCCCATAGCGTCAAGAATAAAAGGGTATAGGAGCAGGATAAGTGATTAATATCGTGCACCGTGTCAAGAGCATAAACAACGGATAAGACCCATGCTCTGTTGGCCCTCGCCGCACTAGGCGACCAAATGCGCACAAGACAAATTACGGCCGTCAATATTCCCATGCTCTTGCGGGAGATTCATTCTCAGTTTCCCCTTTGGTGAGTGGTGCGGCGAGGCCCATTACCACAGAGCAGGTACAATCCGGGAATCCACTGAACATCATGACTCCACAAAAGGGCAGAGAGAAGGTGAGGGGAAGCGAAGAAGTTCCAGGGAGACAGGACACAGTAAGACAAACGAGAGTCAGACTACCTACAGCGAGGACAATGATGACATTCGGAAGAAAACTGCCAAGGCACTCACCTTCTTTGCCCGGATAACGACCCCTTGATCGCCTTGGACCAACATGTATTTCACACCGCCGAGCTTTAGCCCGCTCTCAGAGAGGGTCTTCTCATCCTTAAATCCTCCAATTAACGACTGGACCTCAGCTTCGGAGAGCTGCACGATGAATGCACCAACGAACGAGAAAATTAGCGACAAGCACTGAGCAGCATTTGACTCACCCCCGTCACAATACACAGTTCTGCCCACAGTGCTCGGATTTTTCACTGTTTTCCAAGTCCACTCAAATTAAGAAGCCAACGGAGAACCACGAGTAGACGCACCGTCATGCCCAAGGCATCAACGATGGAGTTGGTTCACCGCTATCGAGGCATGACAAGAAACATGGACGCTCGATGAACACAGAACGAACTCAGCTTGAGATCATAATGCAGGAGTCGAATGGAATTGCGGGAAACGAGCAAGGCGAAAGAAAGAGAGCGCACAACCCGACAAAGAAAGAGATACGGAGTACAAAGAAAGAGAGAAACTGAGGACAAAGAAAGAGAGAAACGGAGGGCCCAAGGAGGACAAAAAAAGAGAGAAACGGAGGACAAAAAAGAGATACGGAGGGCCCAGGCGGGTGGCGACGGCGGTAAGGAGGCACAGCGGAGGCAATGGAGACGGTGGGAAGGCAACAAGGGGATTGAGAGGGGGCGACTGCACGGAGAGAACCGGAGGTGGCATAGATGAAGACCAAAGGCGGCACAGACGAAGGCGAGAGAGACATACGTGGACGAGGAATGACCGGAGGACGGAAGCCACAAAGACAATGGGGACGGGAAGAAACGCTACAACGACGAAGGGAAGACATGGAGACGACGGGGAGGGCAAACAAAGAGGCGGCGACGGGGGCAGACGGAGGCGACGAGGGGGGCAGATCGACGGATGGCAGACCGAGGTGACGAGGGGAGACGGGAGGGGATAAGGGAGACGGAAGGCGAAGGGGGGGAGCAGACCGAGGTGACGAGGGGAGACGGGAGGGAATAAGGGAGACGGAAGGCGACGGCGGGGAGCAGACCGAGGCGACGAGGGGGGCAGACCGAGGCGACGAGGGGGGAAGACCGAGGCGACGAGGGGGGAAGACCGAGGCGACGAGGGGAGACGGGAGGCGACGAAGGGGGCGAGACGCAGGAAACGGGAAGGGAAGGTGACGGAGGGGATAAGGAGGGGAGGCGGAGGCAACGGGAACGAAGCCGGAGGCGACGGAGAGGGGGGTAGAGGGAGGTGATGGGGAGGTGGGCCGACGGAGACGACGGGAAACAAGGGAGACGAAGGCGACTCGGGCTGCGGCCGATGAAAGAAAAAAAGCACCGACCCGCCAGGCAAGAAGATCGGCGGAGGGATCGAGAGGTAGTAAAGGCGGCAACGGGAACGCGCCGCAGGGATAGGAAGAAGTCAAGCAGCGAGAGGAACAGAAGGTAGGCTGGAAGACGCCGAAGACGACGGGGAAAGAGGAGAAGGACACATTGCTTCAAGTAAGAAAGACGGCGACAGACGGAAGAGGCATGGCGACGGACAGGAGACGCAGTGCTACAAACAGGAAACGCGGGCCGACAGACAGGACACGAGGGCAGATAGACAGGAGAGCCAGAGGACGACAAACAGGCGAGGCCGGGGGATGGCGAATAGGCAAAACATAGGGTCGAACAGGCGAGACATACAGATGCACAGGCAAGACAGGGACGTACAGGAGCGGCACGGGGAGGAGACGAACGGGGAAGCACAAGCGAGGTACGGGAACGAACAAGGACGCACGGTGACGAACGGGGGACATGGTGCCACACAGGGAAAGGACGGATGACGAAGGACAGGGAAGGATTGGCGACGCATAAGCGGGGCATGCCCATAGGCAGGGAATGCATAGGAGCGAGCTGCGCGGCACGGGAACGGGCAGGAGACATGGGAATAGTCAAAAGACGGATGGGGATACGCAAGAGACTGATGGGAATATGCAGGAGACGGATGGGAATAGGCAGGATACGCATAGGGACGGCTGTGTGAGGAATTGGAATGGCCACGCATAGAAACGGGCAGGAGGGGGCATGGGACGGGTAGGAGGGGACATGGTAAAGGGCAGGACGCGGCATGGGAAGGGGAAAGGAGGTGGTTGGAAACGGACGGGGAAGCTGTGCGAACAGTGGGAGGCGGCATAGGGACGGGACAGGAGAGAACGACCGCCGATAGGGTAAGCAAGGAGATGCGACACCGGAGCCACTGTCAGGGGGAGGCATGGGGATTGAAAGAAGGCGTGAACACTTGCATTGGGGGCAGGGAAAAGGGAAGGGAAGTCATGATGGCGGGCGGTATGGCACGGCGACGGGCAAGAGCGGCACGGCGGTGAGGCAGCATTATCATCGAGCAGTGGCAGAGTAAGGACGAAATAAAAGGAGAAATAGCAACGGAGGCACGATGATGACAAGATAGCGAAGGCATCGGAATGAAACAGGCAAATACACAAGTACAGAATAGGTAGAGATGGAGACACCATTAAGAGAATGGAAACGAAACTGGCAAGGCGACCATACCGTGAAGACGACAAACAGAAGGCAAGGCACGGGAACAGAATGGACCTGAAGACCCTACCCACAGCAAATGAAAAGCAAAAGTCGTGGCACGATGAAGGGAACAGGATACACGAGAAAACAGGTGGGCTACGCGACGGAACAGACAACTCATGAGGGTGGAATAGGCAAGTCGATGAGGCAGCATGAGTCAGAGACGCAGAACAGAATAGGCATGGGGAACGTCGATCGATACGACAGACGAGCTATGGAGAAAGGTCATGCGAGAAGTGAAAACAGAATCCCCGATACGAATAAGAAAGAATAGATCAAAGCGAGAAGAAAATCAAACACGAAAGACAAATATGAACGGACAAGCTTGATGTGAGCAGTTCCCTTCTCCTCTACGTACGTGATGGATACATCAGTAAACACGCACATCACGCAAACGGCATCCGCTAAATACGCGCTTGCCTCATTCTGCCCCAAGATCGACGAGTTTGGCAACCACCAGCACATCACCCAAAAATAACTTAGCCCGCGGTACAACAGCCTAAAATAACTTAGCCCGCTGTACAACAGCCTAAAATAACTTATCCCGCGGTACAACAGCCTTGGATATCATACGTGTGACGCAAGAAAGGTTATAAAGACAAGAAAACAGAAACACACAAGAAAACAGAAGCCGCAGGAAACGATTTGAACACAAAAGAGAACAGAAGGAGAGAAAACCGAAGGACGCGGATAGACAGAAAGAACAAATTCCCTATCTGCTAAGCTACATGACAAGAAGGACAAGATGTTGAGGAAGAACGATTCACCAGCGCGGGAAATGGACAATAACAACAGAAAGAGGAAGGCAACAAAACAAACATGCATCTACCAAACGATGGAGCAAGGAATAGCATGTGATAAGAACACAGTGAAGAAAGGACGACAAACTGTGGCCGAAAAGGGGTAATAAGAGCTCACTTACATCCGGAAAATTCTCGCTCCTTGCCCACACAACGCCATCCAGGCCGATGATCCCTGCCGATTTGAGTTGCCCTGAGGGAAGGGCGCACATCAAGTAGCTATCGATATACCCATCCCACGACATGGCGACAGCAGTTGAATGTACCTCCCCGAGGAGAAAGAGACAGAGAGAGAGAGAGAGAGAGGGAGAGGGAGAGACCGGAAAGGAGGCGCCGGAACTTCGCGAGATGGATGACTCACTCTATGGACACCAAAACCTTCGGAAGTGCGACGTACGGGTTTCGTATATACATACAAAAGCGCACGACAGGCGGTAGACAGCAAGGTGGTATGGGGTAGAGACTGGGAGCAGAGCGGCAGGATGTCGTGCAGATCCTGTCCCCGGCAGAACCAGCTGACCACCAGAAAGTATCCCGAGCACACAAGCCTGAGAGAGGAGGAAATGAGAAACGCGCCTCAGGAGGGAAAGAACCACTTACGCGTCCAGAGTCTCCCGACGATGGATGGAGCAGTCGAGAATTTTAAGTGGGTCTGACGTGCAACGTCGGATTTGGGACCGCTGCCGCGGGAGCGCGAAGGAAGGCGGGGTGGAACGAAATCAGGGAGAACTCAACACTTCGGTCGATGAACCCCGGACAGGAAGCGCGGCGAGATAGGGCCTCGTCGCAGTCGCACTACTCGCCATCCGCCAACCAACATTTTGATTGCATGTGGATATCATTCTGTCCAGATGCATTCGAAATCTTGGCGGGTTGTAGCCAGGGCCATACCGTCCGGAAAGTCGGTGTTCGCCCTGAGAGATGCCGTCCTCCGCGGCGGAGATTTTTCTGGCTGGCCCGGCCCCTGGCTGGCAATGCAGGCCGAAGTGCGACAGCTCCCAAGCTCCACTACCTTAGCACGGCCCTCCCCGGCCGGCTCTGTCATTCATTTTTTGCCCTTTTTCTTTTCCCGTGGCCAGCTCCACGTAGTCGCTGCCCACGGAAGGACGCAAAACAGCGGACGAGAGGTGTCCAGACACGCTGGCAGGGCTGCGGTACTGAGATCCCGGCGACGCTTGTAGCCAGTTTATTTTTGGGGGAGGGGTAATCTTTCTACATATACCACCACTCCCAGGGAGCTCTGGCACCAGTCCCATAGCCGGCAGCCAAAGTTAGCCGACCGGCCTTCGTCCCAAGGACCTCAAACGCAGGCACCACGCACCACCTCCTAACCACATTGAACCAAGCAATGGGAGGCAAGCGTGGGTAGGCAATCCTGATCCGTAATTACCTTGCATGCATACTGATGTGCACTGCAGTGCAGTTACAGCGTCTGTGAAGATACATGCTGTGAGATTTCCTTACCAAGATATCGAGTCCTCAGGTAACCTCAGGTAATCATGCCACAGCAACAGGACAGTTGGCCATTGATGTGACAGACATTTCACGGATCTCAGGACAGCAGAGTCAGCCTCCAGCTGATGGCCAGCAAGGCTTACTTGATTACAGTGTAACCAGCATGATTATGTCCCTTGTTTTGCCAGGTGAGCTTGCAGTAGAACAGCATGGTATTCAAGAAGGCAGCCCAATGTCTGCAAACAGAATCCATATTGGGGTAGATACTTCGCTGTTCTCTGGGCTGATGAACCAGCATCTAGCTGTGGGCCACCAGGTGAGTATGCCCCTTGCCGTACCAGGTGACTTGCTTGGTCATACAGCCGTAGAGTCACAGGACTCAGGATTAGCCATAACTGCCCAGCACAATGGGCTGAATGGACCTACTGCAGTATCTGTGTCAAATCGGATGTATGATTGAATGAGGAGACCCAAGTGCAGACTGCCTCCCCCGCTATTGAGGAGAATCTGCTAACTAAGACCAAAGTTTTGCCGGTACGGCAGAATCTGCTAACTAAGACCAAAGTTTTGCCGGTACGGCAGATACACACACACTGAAGGAGACAGTTTCTGAATTAACAGGGGAACGCAAATATCTGTCACTTCCCCTTGCACAAGAGGATCCCACATTAATCAGCAATAAAACAAGCTGGGAGGGGGGCGCTGTGTAGGCTACACCAGAAGGAATTAGCATGCAAAGGGGGGGAGCAGTCAGTGTTGCCCGACCCTAAGCAACACCACCAATGTGTGGAACCGGGTATGGGAATACTAGTCTCGAATCAAGGGGACACGAACCAGGACCCAGACCAGGGTGTTGAGGCAACTATGTCCCAGTTGCAGAAAGACCAGTCAGAAGAGGAAATCGATCTCACAGAGGCCCTACAGTCAGTGAGTGAAGGGAATCAGGGAATAGTATGTCTCAGCCGCACTCAGCAGCAAGCCTCGCAAGCCCTAGAAATCACTAGTAAGCGTCAGAAGCTTAGGCACCTTGTGGTTAAAGGTCAGGGAGATCTCCCTCTCTCAAAGGCGGGTATTGTGGTTCTCCCGGTTAGATTCAAGAATGGCATGTGGGAGATTGGGCTTTCATAACCGCTGGGTGCATTATATGGGGCGGTGACGGTACAAGGTATGAAGTCCACCTTTTTTATCTCTATCCTGGCAGACGGGTGGTATGGCAGTTGATTCGTTAATCAAAATGGAAATCGGAAGATTTATTAAGGATCAATTTCCGACGGGAGGAATAGCCACCCTTACCATTGTACCTGAGGCGCATATGATTGTAGAAGGGATGTATACATTAAGTATGAGCCGGCTAGGCAAGTGGATCTCAGTTGGTTCGGGCATGACTCTTTAAAGGACACACAAGTGTTGAAAATTAAGGCAAGCAAGTTCTGGTCAGAGGAGGACGTGGGCATCCTTCTCGCTAGGCTTCTACACCAAGGGACACTAAGGGGGGAGGAACTCTTGATGCAGGAGTTTGGGATATCTTGTGAGGGATTCTTACCTTCCTAGTATCTTGCATAACGCCTGAGCAGTCTTCCCAGTTGTTTCTCAGTAGCGAGTTGTATGAGTTTTGTGATAAAAGGAATTAAAGAGATTGATGCACTATACAATAAGGACAAAGAATGGAAACTGCTTAGGAGGAATTAAATTTAAATATAAGATCCTTGAATGTCAATAGTCAGGCTTCGGCCACATATAGCAAAAAGCAAGCAATCTACTCTGACCAATTAAAAGGGATAGATGAAAAAGACTGGTCGGATGTCATCTGTATTCAAGAGACTCACCTAATGGACATAGAGGCTCAACATCATTGTCATAAAGAGTTGTGGCCACATTTATCATACAGAGCGCATGCGCCTAGACCAGATAGTTCGGGGGTGGGTACTTAGGTGCCTCCACAATTTAGAGTAGAGGTTATCTACTCAGTCACAGATATAGTTTAAAGGAGGTGGATGTATGTCCTTGCTATGCTTGGGCTTGAGGTGGTAGGCATCTTGTGTGTATACCGTGACGGACCAATTGCTGTAGGTGAAAGACAAGTGTTTTTTGAAAACATCCTCCCATGTTTTCCAGTGGGTGTCCTGTTGATCATAGTTGCGGACTTTAATGCTGCTCCAGATAGATATCTGGATCGTTGGCGCATCCCCTCACCTTGCCCAGCACATGTAAAGATCGATGAATTAATTATTGCTAATTTATATCAAACACTCAACGTGTTTGATTTATATCAAAACTCAAGCCCACAACAAAATCAATCTCTTGTTTTAGAAGGGTCGATCCAAACAGAGTACTAAGTCGCGGATTGATTTAATTTTACTAGCTGAGGAATTACTAGGTGCTCTTCAATTTGCATAAATTTTTTTAAAAAGTTTATTCCCAGGCTTAGACCATGCAATGTGTGGGGTTGTTTTCTCATTTTATAAAAAACTGGATCAAGGGAGAAGTACTACAAATTAAATACCTCCCATTTACAAATTGGTAGCTTCATTCATGATATTTGGAAATTTTAAAGATACCAGAGGATTCTCATTAACAATGATATTGCATGGTTTAATAACGGTTCAGCGTTCCTAGGCCGTAAATACAATAAATATTATAAATTGCTATCAACCTAAAGGCATTCTAAGAAATTTCAACTTAAAAAAAAAAAAACAAATCAAGAACTGCAACAACAGAAAATAAATCAAGAAGATCAAGAGGTCTTAGAGTCGTTAGCAAATGAAATGCAAGAATTAAATAATGAATTATTAACTCGTATGAAATACCGATGACAAGAATAAAAATTAGAGGTAAACTTATAATTCATCATATGGAAGGAGCAGTGGATGCTCGATTTTTTGTTGTGCCCAAATCAAGAACAAAAAGGACAGTAATCAAGGCTTTGGAAGACTCTGTTGGTCAAAGTGGAGCCTTGGTCACCACATTGGCAACAATCGCTTGCATTAAGCTTGCTTGAGACTCTTAGAAATCTCCCTTCACCTCGGAAAACAGTAATATACCGACTAATAAAAAAAGTACACACATTAATGACTTTCTTCATCCCCTTAAGAAAACGTAGACTGAAACACAAAGGGTAATGATGGATATGTCTCTCACCAAAGATGAGATATGAAAAAACCTAATATTTATAGAAGAGGAGAAACCTCAGGGGTTGATGGTCTTCCCCCCAAAAATTGGGAGACTCTATGAGATTCACTCTCATAGAACCTCGTGGATTACTACCAAACAGTCTGGATCTCATGGGATATGGGGGGAATTTGTTGGGCAAAAATACAAACCCTGCTCTATAAAAAAAAGGATAAGACTAACAACATAAACTATCGATTCATTATTCTACTCACAGTGGTTTACAAATTGGTAGCTAAGGCACTCAACAGAAAATTTTTCCAGAGTTAAATAATCATTTTATAGTAAATTACATTCTAAATTTCAAATATTCATTCCATCTTAAAAAATGTCAATCCAATTTTAAAATTTTCCGCCTTACTTGAAAATTTACATTCCAAGAATGGGGTATCCCTTCTTATTTGAACTGCGTGTTAGATATAGAATGAAAGTCTGGATGAGTTCATGAAATATTTAATTCGACAGTCATTCTTTGTAAGAATTTCTAGTCATAAATAAGTTAATCCAATTTAAATTAGAAGATATTTGTTGTAGTAGAACGAAAGTTTAATTTAGACACTTCACAAACTTGTTCAGACTTTCATTCCATCTTGAACAAACAAATGTAGTTGGAACGGGAAACTTATATTTAGATGGAAAACTTATCAAATAAAACTATATTTTTTTTAATTGCACGAACATTGGAATGATAAGTTATGAATATGAAAGATTTTTTTTTAATGGAATGTTTTTTTCAAATTCATTTATCGTGGAAATTTTTATGTTGCTCGCTGATCAAATGACCAGGGTGATTTTAAATATAATACATTTTGTCCAGACTGACTTTATAATAGACAGAAATATACATGATAATATCCTTCTAGTGAATGAATTAATCAAAATTACCCGCTAATGTAAAACAATGCGTCTTTTATTTTCATATATTTTAAGAATACTTATGATCATCTGGATTGTTTTTTTTTTATAAGTGTTAAGAAAA